TCTGGTCTGTGACTCTGGTCTGTGACTCTGGTCTGAGACTCTGGTCTGTGACTCTGGTCTGTGACTCTGGTCTGTGACTCTGGTCTGTGACTCTGGTCTGTGACTCTGGTCTGAGACTCTGGTCTGAGACTCTGGTCTGTGAGTCTGGTCTGTGACTCTGGTCTGTGACTCTGGTCTGTGACTCTGGTCTGAGACTCTGGTCTGTGACTCTGGTCTGTGAGTCTGGTCTGAGACTCTGGTCTGTGAGTCTGGTCTCTGACTCTGGTCTGTGACTCTGGTCTGTGAGTCTGGTCTGAGACTCTGGTCTGTGACTCTGGTCTGTGAGTCTGGTCTGTGACTCTGGTCTGTGACTCTGGTCTGTGACTCTGGTCTGAGACTCTGGTCTGAGACTCTGGTCTGTGAGTCTGGTCTGTGACTCTGGTCTGTGACTCTGGTCTGTGACTCTGGTCTGAGACTCTGGTCTGTGACTCTGGTCTGTGACTCTGGTCTGTGACTCTGGTCTGTGAGTCTGGTCTGAGACTCTGGTCTGTGAGTCTGGTCTCTGACTCTGGTCTCTGACTCTGGTCTGTGACTCTGGTCTGTGACTCTGGTCTGAGACTCTGGTCTGTGACTCTGGTCTGTGACTCTGGTCTGTGACTCTGGTCTGTGACTCTGGTCTGTGACTCTGGTCTGAGACTCTGGTCTGTGAGTCTGGTCTGTGAGTCTGGTCTGTGACTCTGGTCTGTGACTTTGGTCTGTGACTCTGGTCTGTGATTCTGGTCTCTGACTCTGGTCTGTGACTCTGGTCTGTGACTCTGGTCTGAGACTCTGGTCTGTGACTCTGGTCTGTGACTCTGGTCTGTGACTCTGGTCTGTGACTCTGGTCTGTGACTCTGGTCTGAGACTCTGGTCTGTGACTCTGGTCTGTGACTCTGGTCTGTGACTCTGGTCTGAGACTCTGGTCTGTGAGTCTGGTCTGTGAGTCTGGTCTGTGACTCTGGTCTGTGACTTTGGTCTGTGACTCTGGTCTGTGACTCTGGTCTGTGACTCTGGTCTGTGAGTCTGGTCTCTGACTCTGGTCTGTGACTTTGGTCTGTGACTCTGGTCTGAGACTCTGGTCTGTGACTCTGGTCTGTGAGTCTGGTCTGTGACTCTGGTCTGTGACTCTGGTCTGTGACTCTGGTCTGTGACTCTGGTCTGTGACTCTGGTCTGTGACTCTGGTCTGTGAGTCTGGTCTCTGACTCTGGTCTGTGACTCTGGTCTGTGACTCTGGTCTGTGACTCTGGTCTGTGACTCTGGTCTGAGACTCTGGTCTGTGACTCTGGTCTGTGACTCTGGTCTGTGACTCTGGTCTGTGACTCTGGTCTGTGAGTCTGGTCTGAGACTCTGGTCTGTGAGTCTGGTCTCTGACTCTGGTCTGTGACTCTGGTCTGTGACTCTGGTCTGTGACTCTGGTCTGTGATTCTGGTCTGTGACTCTGGTCTGTGACTCTGGTCTGTGACTCTGGTCTGAGACTCTGGTCTGTGATTCTGGTCTGTGACTCTGGTCTGAGACTCTGGTCTGTGACTCTGGTCTGTGAGTCTGGTCTCTGACTCTGGTCTGTGAGTCTGGTCTGTGAGTCTGGTCTGTGACTCTGGTCTGTGACTCTGGTCTGAGACTCTGGTCTGTGAGTCTGGTCTGAGACTCTGGTCTGTGAGTCTGGTCTGTGAGTCTGGTCTGTGACTCTGGTCTGTGACTCTGGTCTGTGAGTCTGGTCTGTGACTCTGGTCTGTGACTCTGGTCTGAGACTCTGGTCTGTGAGTCTGGTCTGAGACTCTGGTCTGTGAGTCTGGTCTGTGAGTCTGGTCTGTGACTCTGGTCTGTGAGTCTGGTCTGAGACTCTGGTCTGTGACTCTGGTCTGTGAGTCTGGTCTGTGAGTCTGGTCTGTGACTCTGGTCTGTGACTCTGGTCTGTGACTCTGGTCTGTGACTCTGGTCTGTGACTCTGGTCTGAGACTCTGGTCTGTGAGTCTGGTCTGTGACTCTGGTCTGAGACTCTGGTCTGTGACTCTGGTCTGAGACTCTGGTCTGTGACTCTGGTCTGAGACTCTGGTCTGTGACTCTGGTCTGTGACTCTGGTCTGTGACTCTGGTCTGTGATTCTGGTCTGTGACTCTGGTCTGTGACTCTGGTCTGTGACTCTGGTCTGTGACTCTGGTCTGTGATTCTGGTCTGTGACTCTGGTCTGTGATTCTGGTCTGTGACTCTGGTCTGTGACTCTGGTCTGTGATTCTGGTCTGTGACTCTGGTCTGAGACTCTGGTCTGTGACTCTGGTCTGAGACTCTGGTCTGTGACTCTGGTCTGTGATTCTGGTCTGTGACTCTGGTCTGTGACTCTGGTCTGTGACTCTGGTCTGTGACTCTGGTCTGTGACTCTGGTCTGAGACTCTGGTCTGTGATTCTGGTCTGTGACTCTGGTCTGAGACTCTGGTCTGTGAGTCTGGTCTGTGACTCTGGTCTGTGACTCTGGTCTGTGACTCTGGTCTGTGACTCTGGTCTGTGACTCTGGTCTGTGACTCTGGTCTGTGACTCTGGTCTGTGACTCTGGTCTGTGATTCTGGTCTGTGACTCTGGTCTGAGATTCTGGTCTGTGACTCTGGTCTGAGACTCTGGTCTGTGACTCTGGTCTGAGACTCTGGTCTGTGACTCTGGTCTGTGATTCTGGTCTGTGACTCTGGTCTGTGACTCTGGTCTGTGACTCTGGTCTGTGACTCTGGTCTGTGACTCTGGTCTGAGACTCTGGTCTGTGATTCTGGTCTGTGACTCTGGTCTGAGACTCTGGTCTGTGACTCTGGTCTGTGACTCTGGTCTGTGACTCTGGTCTGTGACTCTGGTCTGTGACTCTGGTCTGTGACTCTGGTCTGTGACTCTGGTCTGTGACTCTGGTCTGTGATTCTGGTCTGTGACTCTGGTCTGAGACTCTGGTCTGTGACTCTGGTCTGAGACTCTGGTCTGTGACTCTGGTCTCTGATTCTGGTCTGTGACTCTGGTCTGTGACTCTGGTCTGTGACTCTGGTCTGTGACTCTGGTCTGTGACTCTGGTCTGAGACTCTGGTCTGTGATTCTGGTCTGTGACTCTGGTCTGAGACTCTGGTCTGTGAGTCTGGTCTGTGACTCTGGTCTGTGACTCTGGTCTGTGACTCTGGTCTGTGACTCTGGTCTGTGACTCTGGTCTGAGACTCTGGTCTGTGACTCTGGTCTGAGACTCTGGTCTGTGAGTCTGGTCTGTGACTCTGGTCTGTGACTCTGGTCTGTGACTCTGGTCTGTGATTCTGGTCTGTGACTCTGGTCTGTGACTCTGGTCTGTGACTCTGGTCTGTGACTCTGGTCTGTGACTCTGGTCTGAGACTCTGGTCTGTGACTCTGGTCTGTGACTCTGGTCTGTGACTCTGGTCTGAGACTCTGGTCTGTGACTCTGGTCTGTGACTCTGGTCTGTGACTCTGGTCTGTGACTCTGGTCTGTGACTCTGGTCTGAGACTCTGGTCTGTGACTCTGGTCTGTGACTCTGGTCTGTGACTCTGGTCTGTGAGTCTGGTCTGTGAGTCTGGTCTGTGACTCTGGTCTGTGACTCTGGTCTGTGAAAGACGGTATATGGATAAGGATGACTTACCTCATTAATATACAGTATTTCAAACATACTTCTTATTATGCTAAAGCTAGCAGTTTACAGAAGTATTGTTCATGTTCCCTGTGCTGTGTGCTCCTCATTCTACTGCTCTGTAACTGTGTAACGCAACACTGACATTTACCTGTGGAACAACCTGGATCTCTTCATCTCAAATAGTCTTTTTTCAGTTGTAGTAGTGGAAGTAGTAGTAGTAGTAGTAGTAGTAGTAGTAGTAGTAGTAGTAGTAGTAGTAGTAGTAGTAGTAGTAGTAGTAGTACTACTACTACTACTTCCTGCTCTGGACAGAGCAGTCGCATTCTCTTGCTGCTCCTCGCTTGCTGCTTTTTTATCTCCTTTAATCATTTTTGCTTACATTTTTATTCCACAAAACACGGATTACTCCTTTTTACAAACTTCAACACAAGACTTGTGGAATTTACCTAACTTACAGCATGTCGGGAGGACGGGAAAATAGAACAAAACTTTGCGACGGCTGTTTTTCACTCAAACAGGAGCTAAAACTTCTTCAAGACCGAATGTTTGTGCTTGAATCAGAATTGGGGCTGAACACAACAATACCAGTGAAAGGAAATGGACCACATGGACAAAACGTAAGTTATGATGACGCTATTTCATTTCCCAAAATCAACAGAGACAATTGTTGGAACACATATGGTGCCAAGCCCAAACAAGGCAAAGCTAATGATAACAAGAGTGTCATAATGCCACAGCAAAAATCTTTAATTACAAGAAACCGCTTTTCACCACTTTTGGAAGATGAATCACCAGTAGCCTCTCAGTCCCAGTCTCAGTCTCAGTCAAGGTCAAATGCAGCTGAGTCGCTCTTTATCGGGGATTCTGCGATAAGACATGTAAACATGCGTAATCTCAAGGTTCACTCAGTACACTCTGCCAAAGTGGATGAGATAAGGCGGTTGGCTCCGAGGCTTCTGTCTGAGACCGGCGGGGTAAAAAGATTGTTGATCCACGTGGGGGCAGTAGACGTCTATGACAACACAAGTGAAAAGTTGAAACGGGATTACTCTCTCTTATTGGACGACCTTGCTAAAATGGACACAAAAATCGTTATCAGTGGCCCACTACCAAATGTGGACGGGAAGCAAATGAAATTCAGTCGTCTGTATCAGCTAAATACTTTCCTACTCAACGAATGTTCACGCAGAGGACTTGCCTTCATTGAGAATTTTAATCTGTTCTGGAATAGGCATGAGCTTTTTGAAGGGAAAGGGCCACATCTGAACACTTACGGAGTAAAAGTGCTGATGGATAACCTTTCTTTTGCCCTGAGATCTCAGCCTGCGCAGCGCGTGCAGCCATCGAAAGGGAGGAAGCCGACTCCAAAAGTCTCTGCACCTCCGCCACCTCGAAGGATCTCAACACCATCACCACCTCGAAGGATCTCAACACCACCACCACCTCGAAGGATCTCAACACCACCACCACCTCGAAGGATCTCAACACCTCCACCACCTCGAAGGATCTCAACACCACCACCACCTCGAAGGATCTCAACACCACCACCACCTCGAAGGATCTCAACACCACAACCACCTCGAAGGATCTCAACACCTCCACTGTCATCAGAAGCAGCTGCATCATCACCAGCAGCAGCTGCATCATCACCAGCAGCAGCTGCATCATCACCAGCAGCAGCTGCATCATCACCAGCAGCAGCTGCATCATTACCAGCAGCAGCTGCATCATCACCAGCAGCAGCTGCATCATTACCAGCAGCAGCTGCATCATCACCAGCAGCAGCTGCATCATCACCAGCAGCAGCTGCATCATCACCAGTAGCAGCACCAGCAGCACGACCACCACCACCAACATCCTCATCCCCAGCCTGCTCCAAAGCAGCCACGCCTTCTTCATCTACAGCGCCTCTGAAGCCCCCATCCTCACCCCAGGCTACAGCAGACAGGCCTGTGCTGGGGTTTCCTCAACCACCTGCCCCTCCATTAAAGACTCCCTCGCCACCTCCCAAGGACCTGTCTTGGGTCCCCCCTGCCACGTCCACTCCATCAAGAGAGAATGGGGACACCTCCCTTTGTTTTTCATCCCCGCCTTCACTGTTAGACCTACCTGAACACTCTGCAGGGCTAATAAAATCGGCGATGAAGACTATTCCTCTCACACCCATATTAGCTCGATCTAGAGTCCTGTCCAACATTCTAAACCACTCCCCATATGTACCTCCAAAACCACCTAGGGTTTCCAATTCACCTACAAAAACCACCTCAGCCAGTCCCTCCCCTAACCTCATGACCATTCCACCCCCACTTCCCCCTCGTTCAACATCCAAAACCTCTGCCTCAGCCCACCCCGGCCCTAACCCATCACCTAAAACCCCTCCACCTCCCTGCCCCCCTCGTTCAACACCCAAAAAAACCACCCACCTCTCCATCCTCCTCCCCCGCCTTCCCCTACCCCTCTTATCTCTAAACACTAGGATGCACAGGGTCTCTGCTTCGCAGCCACTGGCAGTCTAGTTAGAGGAGAGACCCGGCTGGGGCCCTGTCATGAAGCCACCTGTGCCATTCCCTTAGTGATAACACAAAGAATACATTACAGAAAAACATCTGGAGTTAATCAGTCTAATCTGGAAAATCTAATTCTTGTTCCGTGTAAGAATCAGCCGACCGCAACCGCTGATACTGAAACTTTGAAACTTGCTACGCTTAATGTCAGATCTCTTTGTAACAAGTCTTTTTTAATCAATAATTTTATTTCTTCTCATAATCTTGATCTTATGTTCATGGCTGAAACTTGGCTTGACCAAAATTCAGAAAATGCAGTTTTAATAGAAGCATCACCACCAAATTTCAAGTTTGAATCTGAAATACGGGAAAACAAAAAAGGAGGAGGCTTAGCTGCCATTTTTAGAGACCACTTTGTCTCCCATAGAATGTCTCTTGGGAAGTTTTCGTCATTTGAATATGTGTCTTTTAAAATACAACAAAAACAATCTCCTCCAATACTCTTCGTTGTCCTATACAAGCCACCGCAGTCATGTCACAGTTTTATTGATCATTTTACCGAGTTGCTTTCAGTTGTATGCACAGATTTTGATAGTTTGGTTATTACAGGTGATTTTAATATTCATGTGGATAATGTTGATGACAGAAATGCAAATGAGCTGAGTTCTGTACTTGAATCCTTTGATCTCACTCAGCACGTAAGTGGCCCCACCCACAGCAGAGGGCACACTCTAGATCTGTTAGTTACAAAGGGGGTGATTATTTCAAATGTAAACGTGGTCAATGTTGCTCTTTCGGATCATTTCTGTGTTTTTTTTGACATGTGTTTCACTAACAAACCACCAGTGGACTCTGTAACTGTTCGAAGAAGGCGCATAAATGAAAATACGAGTGAACTATTTATGGAAATGATAAACTTTGAGAATGCATCGTATTCTACTGTAGATGAACTGTTTAACTCTGTCACCTCTAGTGTTTTGAATGTTCTGGATACCGTTGCCCCTGTGAAGGTTAAAATAGTGGAAAATAAGCAGAAGGCGCCGTGGGCTAAAGCAGACTCGGTCAGGGCACAAAAGAGAAAGTGCCGGAGGGCCGAGCGGAAGTGGCGCAAGTCCAACCTCCAGGTAGATTACGAGATCTTCAAAGATAAGTTGTGCGAGTTTAACCGGGTGCTACGTAGTACGAGAGAAAGGTATTTTTCTGAAATGATTGAAGGCTGCAGCAACAATCTGCGTGTTCTGTTCTCAACAGTTAATAGATTAACAAACCCCCCTGTTCAGATGCCATTAGAGCTAACTTCCAAACGTAAATGCAATGAGTTTGCTAATTTTTTCAATGACAAGGTTCAAGGCATCAAAAGCGCCATTGTCTCCAATCCACAGATAACCATCCAACAGCCAGAAAGGCTCTCTGAGCTAACTCACTTTGCACCTGTAAATGATAAAACTGTCCAAGAGATAATCTCCAGTTTGAGCTCCTCCACATGCAGCCTGGATGTACTACCCACTAGATTTCTGAAGTCTGTTCTGAGCAGTCTGTTACCTTCACTCACACAGATAGTAAACATGTCCCTTCATTCTGGAATATTCCCAAAGGCCCTGAAAACTGCAGTCATCAGGCCCCTGCTAAAAAAGAGCAGTCTGGATGCCACTGTACTTAACAACTATCGTCCCATCTCAAATCTGCCATTTATGGGGAAAGTCCTTGAGAAAGTTGTCTACCTACAGCTTACTAGATTTCTTATAATCAACAACTCATTTGATATGTTTCAGTCCGGCTTTAGACCCCACCACAGCACTGAGACTGCTCTCGTTAAGGTTACAAACGATATCCGGCTGAACACTGACGCAGGCAAAGTCTCAATCTTAATCTTGTTAGATCTAAGTGCTGCCTTTGACACCGTCGACCATGAGATCCTCTTACAGAGATTAGAGGACTGGGTTGGCGTCACTGGCACCGCCCTAAGTTGGTTTAGGTCTTACCTTGAAGACAGGAAGTACTTTGTGGAGATTGGAAACTGTGTCTCAGATCATATGGCCCTGACCTGTGGAGTCCCACAGGGGTCGATCCTGGGACCTCTTCTGTTCAATCTCTACATGCTGCCGTTAGGTCAGTTAATACGCAGAAACAAAGTTTCCTATTATAACTATGCAGACGACACTCAGATCTATGTCTCACTGACTGCAGGAGAACATGGACCAGTGGACTCACTCCTTCACTGTATCCAACAGATCAGTGAGTGGATGCAAAACAACTTCCTTCAGCTAAACGCAGACAAAACTGAAATGATTGTCTTTGGTCCCCAGAAACAAAGAGAGAGCGTCATCTGTCACCTACAGTCTCTCTCCCTAAAACCTTCAAACAAGGTCAGAAATCTAGGGGTAATACTGGACTCAGACTTAAATTTTAATAGCCACATCAAATCAGTAACATCAGCAGCTTTTTACCATCTAAAAAACATTGCCAGGATCAAAAACATAGTGTCTAAAGCAGACTTGGAGATTCTTATCCATGCATTTGTCTCCAGTAGGTTAGACTACTGCAATGGCCTGCTCACAGGTCTGTCCAAACAGGCTGTAAAACAGCTGCAGTACATTCAAAATGCAGCAGCTCGAGTCCTGACTAGAACCAGGAAGTACGACCACATTAGTCCAGTCCTCAGGTCTCTGCACTGGCTTCCTGTGGCTCAGAGAATAGACTTTAAAACAGCTCTGCTTGTGTACAAGTCTCTCCATAGCCTCGCACCAAAATATATTAGTGACATGTTAGTCCCATATGAACCAGCCCGGACTCTGAGGAGCACAGGGACTGGACTCCTGCTGGGACTCTGAGGAGCACAGGGACTGGACTCCTGCTGGGACTCTGAGGAGCACAGGGACTGGCCTCCTGCTGGGACTCTGAGGAGCACAGGGACTGGCCTCCTGCTGTGGACTCTGAGGAGCACAGGGACTGGACTCCTGTTAGTGCCCAGAGTCAGAACTAAACATGGGGAGGCTGCTTTTCAGATTCATGCTGCTAAAATCTGGAACAGTCTTCCTGAAGATGTGAGACAGGCCTCCTCTCTGACAATGTTTAAAACCAGGTTAAAGACGGTTCTGTTTAACTGTGCATACAACTGAGGGATTTTATATTTTTATCTTTCTTTTTAATGTTCTGTGATAATTTATGATTTTAATGCTTTCTTGTTTTGTTCAGCACTTTGAATTGCCTTGTGTATGAATTGTGCTATATAAATAAACTTGCCTTGCCTTGCCTTGCCTAGTAGTAGTAGTAGTAGTAGTAGTAGTAGTAGTAGTGTTAGTATTAGATATGGCCTACGTGCAGGACGCAGACTCTGATGACTCCATGTTGTGACTCTGATGTGACTGTCTCTGTGTGACACGTCTTTCCATGTGTGACGTGACAATGACTATATAAACTGTGTACTGCCTTTAACAGTGACTATATAAACTGTGTACTGACTTAAACAATGACTATATAAACTGTGTACTGACTTAAACAATGACTATATAAACTGTGTACTGACTTAAACAATGACTATATAAACTGTGTACTGACTTAAACAATGACTATATAAACTGTGTACTGACTTAAACAATGACTATATAAACTGTGTACTGACTTAAACAATGACTATATAAACTGTGTACTGACTTAAACAATGACTATATAAACTGTGTACTGACTTTATTCTGTCTGAGAGAAAGAAACATCAGAAACCACTGGAACTTGAGAGAAACTTAAATAAACTTCCAGAGTTTGGTGCACCACGATCCGTCTCTGTCTGCTTCATCCCTGACAGTAGGAGTAGAAGAAGTATTAGAAGTATAAAAGGCAGGAGGAGGCTGGAGGCAGGAGGAGGCTGAAGGAGGAGGCTGAAGGAGGAGGCTGGAGGAGGCAGGAGGAGGCTGAGGAGGTTGGAGGAGGTTGGAGGAGGTTGGAGGAGGTTGGAGGAGGCTGAGGAGGTTGGAGGAGGTTGGAGGAGGTTGGAGGAGGTTGGAGGAGGCTGAGGAGGTTGGAGGAGGTTGGAGGAGGTTGGAGGAGGCTGAGGAGGTTGGAGGAGGTTGGAGGAGGCTGAGGAGGTTGGAGGAGGTTGGAGGAGGCTGAGGAGGTTGGAGGAGGTTGGAGGAGGAGGCTGGAGGAGGCTGAGGAGGAGGCTGGAGGAGGCTGAGGAGGTTGGAGGAGGTTGGAGGAGGTTGGAGGAGGTTGGAGGAGGCTGAGGAGGTTGGAGGAGGTTGGAGGAGGTTGGAGGAGGTTGGAGGAGGCTGAGGAGGTTGGAGGAGGTTGGAGGAGGTTGGAGGAGGTTGGAGGAGGCTGAGGAGGTTGGAGGAGGTTGGAGGAGGCTGAGGAGGTTGGAGGAGGTTGGAGGAGGCTGAGGAGGTTGGAGGAGGTTGGGGGAGGCTGAGGAGGTTGGAGGAGGCTGAGGAGGTTGGAGGAGGTTGGAGGAGGCTGAGGAGGCAGGAGGAGGCAGGAGGAGGAGGCAGGAGGAGGAGGCAGGATTCCTCTGGGTCCTGGCCCTTGTCAGGACTTGTCTTTGGGTTTGTTGTTGGAGGATTCTTTGTTGGAGCCTGAGGCCACAGCTCTGGATAACGGTCTCTGGATTAGAGGGAGCAGAGAGAGAGGAGGGGGGGAGAGAGGGGGAGAGGGGGAGAGAGGGAGAGTAAAGGGGGGAGAGAGATGGGGGAGGAGAGGGGGAGAGGAGGGGGGGGAGACAGGGGGAGAGGGAGCAAAAAGGGGGGAGAGAGATGGGGGAGGAGAGGGGGAGAGGAGGGGGGGGGGCAGGGGGAGAGGGGAGAGAGGGAGAAAAAAGGGGGGAGAGAGATGGGGGAGGAGAGGGGGAGAGGAGGGGGGGGGGGGGGACAGGGGGAGAGGGGAGAGAGGGAGCAAAAAGGGGGGAGAGAGATGGGGGAGGAGAGGGGGAGAGGAGGGGGGGAGACAGGGGGAGAGGGGAGAGAGGGAGCAAAAAGGGGGGGGAGAGGGAGTGGAGGAATCAGCCAAAGTCTGGGATCGTGTCTTTAATTCAGACACGAACCACACTAACACATGTGGTAGACAGAAGGAGGTGCTACACTCAGGAGAGACAGAGGATGGTAGACAGAAGGAGGTGCTACACTCAGGAGAGACAGAGGATGGTAGACAGAAGGAGGTGCTACACTCAGGAGAGACAGAGGATGGTAGACAGAAGGAGGTGCTACACTCAGGAGAGACAGAGGATGGTAGACAGAAGGAGGTGCTACACTCAGGAGGAACAGAGGATGGTAGACAGAAGGAGGTGATACACTCAGGAGAGACAGAGGATGGTAGACAGAAGGAGGTGATACACTCAGGAGAGACAGAGGATGGTAGACAGAAGGAGGTGCTACACTCAGGAGAGACAGAGGATGGTAGACAGAAGGAGGTGCTACACTCAGGATGAACAGAGGATGGTAGACAGAAGGAGGTGCTACACTCAGGAGGAACAGAGGCTGTTAGACAGAAGGAGGTGCTACACTCAGGAGGAACAGAGGATGGTAGACAGAAGGAGGTGCTACACTCAGGAGGAACAGAGGATGTTAGACAGAAGGAGGTGCTACACTCAGGAGAGACAGAGGATGGTAGACAGAAGGAGGTGCTACACTCAGGAGGAACAGAGGATGTTAGACAGAAGGAGGTGCTACACTCAGGAGGAACAGAGGATGGTAGACAGAAGGAGGTGCTACACTCGGGAGGAACAGAGGATGGTAGACAGAAGGAGGTGCTACACTCAGGAGGAACAGAGGATGTTAGACAGAAGGAGGTGATACACTCAGGAGAGACAGAGGATGGTAGACAGAAGGAGGTGCTACACTCAGGAGGAACAGAGGATGGTAGACAGAAGGAGGTGATACACTCAGGAGGAACAGAGGATGGTAGACAGAAGGAGGTGATACACTCAGGAGAGACAGAGGATGGTAGACAGAAGGAGGTGCTACACTCAGGAGAGACAGAGGATGGTAGACAGAAGGAGGTGCTACACTCAGGAGGAACAGAGGATGGTAGACAGAAGGAGGTGCTACACTCAGGAGGAACAGAGGATGTTAGACAGAAGGAGGTGCTACACTCAGGAGGAACAGAGGATGGTAGACAGAAGGAGGTGCTACACTCAGGAGGAACAGAGGATGTTAGACAGAAGGAGGTGATACACTCAGGAGAGACAGAGGATGGTAGACAGAAGGAGGTGCTACACTCAGGAGAGACAGAGGATGGTAGACAGAAGGAGGTGCTACACTCAGGAGAGACAGAGGATGGTAGACAGAAGGAGGTGCTACACTCAGGAGGAACAGAGGATGTTAGACAGAAGGAGGTGCTACACTCAGGAGGAACAGAGGATGGTAGACAGAAGGAGGTGCTACACTCAGGAGAGACAGAGGATGGTAGACAGAAGGAGGTGCTACACTCAGGAGAGACAGAGGATGTTAGACAGAAGGAGGTGCTACACTCAGGAGGAACAGAGGATGGTAGACAGAAGGAGGTGCTACACTCAGGAGAGACAGAGGGTGGTAGACAGAAGGAGGTGCTACACTCAGGAGGAACAGAGGATGTTAGACAGAAGGAGGTGCTACACTCAGGAGGAACAGAGGATGGTAGACAGAAGGAGGTGCTACACTCAGGAGGAACAGAGGGTGGTAGACAGAAGGAGGTGCTACACTCAGGAGAGACAGAGGATGGTAGACAGAAGGAGGTGCTACACTCAGGAGGAACAGAGGAAGGTAGACAAAAGGAGGTGCTACACTCAGGAGGAACAGAGGATGGTAGACAGAAGGAGGTGCTACACTCAGGAGGAACAGAGGATGGTAGACAGAAGGAGGTGCTACACTCAGGAGGAACAGAGGATGGTAGACAGAAGGAGGTGCTACACTCAGGAGGAACAGAGGAAGGTAGACAGAAGGAGGTGCTACACTCAGGAGGAACAGAGGATGGTAGACAGAAGGAGGTGCTACACTCAGGAGGAACAGAGGAAGGTAGACAAAAGGAGGTGCTACACTCAGGAGGAACAGAGGATGGTAGACAGAAGGAGGTGCTACACTCAGGAGGAACAGAGGATGGTAGACAGAAGGAGGTGCTACACTCAGGAGGAACAGAGGATGGTAGACAGAAGGAGGTGCTACACTCAGGAGAGACAGAGGATGGTAGACAGAAGGAGGTGCTACACTCAGGAGGAACAGAGGATGTTAGACAGAAGGAGGTGCTACACTCAGGAGGAACAGAGGATGGTAGACAGAAGGAGGTGCTACACTCAGGAGAGACAGAGGGTGGTAGACAGAAGGAGGTGCTACACTCAGGAGGAACAGAGGATGGTAGACAGAAGGAGGTGCTACACTCAGGAGGAACAGAGGATGGTAGACAGAAGGAGGTGCTACACTCAGGAGAGACAGAGGATGGTAGACAGAAGGAGGTGCTACACTCAGGAGGAACAGAGGATGGTAGACAGAAGGAGGTGCTACACTCAGGAGGAACAGAGGATGTTAGACAGAAGGAGGTGCTACACTCAGGAGGAACAGAGGATGGTAGACAGAAGGAGGTGCTACACTCAGGAGAGACAGAGGGTGGTAGACAGAAGGAGGTGCTACACTCAGGAGAGACAGAGGATGGTAGACAGAAGGAGGTGCTACACTCAGGAGAGACAGAGGATGTTAGACAGAAGGAGGTGCTACACTCAGGAGGAACAGAGGATGGTAGACAGAAGGAGGTGCTACACTCAGGAGGAACAGAGGATGGTAGACAGAAGGAGGTGCTACACTCAGGAGGAACAGAGGATGGTAGACAGAAGGAGGTGCTACACTCAGGAGGAACAGAGGATGACACCTCCACAGACTGTAACTCCCTTTGTTCTGTGGAACATAAAGTAACTAAGTAGTTTTACTTAGTATTAAAGGAGTTCCTTTTCTTAGAGCTGGGGGACCTAACTTCATGAAGAGAAGACTAAAGATAAAATCCTTTTAGCTTTTGGAAAAATGAACAGATCAGACACAACATGCAGTCTTCACCTCCACCTGGGGTCCCTAAAGTTAGGGACCCCAGCTTTAAAGGGATATGTTTCTGTACAAAAGCACGTGACACATGTGAGAGTAATATATTAGTCCCTTTAATAACAAGTCTGTACATAGGTCCCACATCAGAGTCTGCTGCAGTCTCTGTACCGGTGATATGTTACAAATATACACTGCTAAGTTTGGCACAAGGACCACATGGTCCTGACACTATTTACACACAACACCACATGGTCCTGACACTATTTACACACACCATGTATTTTAGTAAATAATATATTAATACATGTTTATAATGGAACACACTGCAAACACTGAGCACAGGTACCTTTGTTTGGGCTTCAAATAAGGTTTGGTTTACATGCAATCAAAAGAATTGGTCTGAAACAAGTTTGCTGAAAGGAGAAGATGGGGTCGTCTGCAGTACCACAGGTGGCCTCTAGTCCATGTGGGCTGAGGCTGCAGTACCACAGGTGGCCTCTAGTCCATGTGGGTTTAGGCTGCAGTACCACAGGTGGCCTCTAGTCCATGTGGGTTTAGGCTGCAGTACCACAGGTGGCCTCTAGTCCATGTGGGTTTAGGCTGCAGTACCACAGGTGGCCTCTAGTCCATGTGGGCTGAGGCTGCAGTACCACATGTGGCCACTAGTCCATGTGGGTTTAGGCTGCAGTACCACAGGTGGCCACTAGTCCATGTGGGTTTAGGCTGCAGTACCACAGGTGGCCTCTAGTCCATGTGGGTTTAGGCTGCAGTACCACAGGTGGCCTCTAGTCCATGTGGGTTTAGGCTGCAGTACCACAGGTGGCCTCTAGTCCATGTGGGTTTAGGCTGCAGTACCACAGGTGGCCACTAGTCCATGTGGGTTTAGGCTGCAGTACCACAGGTGGCCTCTAGTCCATGTGGGCTGAGGCTGCAGTACCACAGGTGGCCTCTAGTCCATGTGGGTTTAGACTGCAGTACCACAGGTGGCCACTAGTCCATGTGGGTTTAGGCTGCAGTACCACAGGTGGCCACTAGTCCATGTGGGTTTAGGCTGCAGTACCACAGGTGGCCACTAGTCCATGTGGGTTTAGGCTGCAGTACCACAGGTGGCCTCTAGTCTATGTGGAGATGAGTAAGAACGGTAATTTTTTCTCTTAAAAAGCTCGTCTCAGTGAGAAAAAAGCTAGTTTTAAGGCCGACAAAGAAGTAAAAAAATGTAACCCTTTAGGCGCCACAGAACAGTTTCTATACAAGGACCTGGCTTCATCTTCTGTTTGTTTCTGTGGCGCCAAAAGGGGAACTCAAGCACTTTCTCTTCTTATGTCTGTCATTGTTTGCAGCGTGCGATGGTCCCAAGACCAGGAGAGCATGGAGCTAAACACAACTCCAGGTCTGTTTTTGACAGAATCTCAAAACATGATTAAAGCTCAAAACATAAGTTTACAAACGTTTACAAAGCACGAGAGAAACCAGATCTCTCTCTTTAGTCCAATTCAACACCATTAAAGAGTTAAAAACAGAGAGAGACCAGAGAGAGACCAGAGAGAGACCAGAGAGAGACCAGAGAGAGAGACCAGAGAGAGAGACCAGAGAGAGAGACCAGAGAGAGACCAGAGAGAGAGACCAGAGAGACAGACCAGAGAGAGACCAGAGAGAGAGACCAGAGAGAGAGACCAGAGAGAGAGACCAGAGAGAGAGACCAGAGAGAGACCAGAGAGAGAAACAAGAGAGAGACCAGAGAGAGAGACCAGAGAGAGAGACCAGAGAGAGGGACCAGAGAGAGGGACCAGAGAGAGGGACCAGAGAGAGAGACCAGAGAGAGAGACCAGAGAGGGACCAGAGAGAGACCAGAGAGAGACCAGAGAGAGACCAGAGAGAGAGAGACCAGAGAGAGAGACCAGAGAGAGAGACCAGAGAGAGAGAACAGAGAGAGGGACCAGAGAGAGATCAGAGAGAGACCAGAGAGAGACCAGAGAGAGCGACCAAAGAGAGAGACCAAAGAGAGAGACCAGAGAGAGACCAGAGAGAGAGAACAGAGAGAGAGACCAGAGAGAGACCAGAGAGAGACCAGAGAGAGACCAGAGAGAGACCAGAGAGAGAGACCAAAGAGAGAGACCAGAGAGAGACCAGAGAGAGAGACCAGAGAGAGACCAGAGAGAGAGACCAGAGAGAGAGACCAGAGAGAGAGACCAGAGAGAGGGACCAGAGAGAGAGACCAGAGAGAGAGACCAGAGAGGGACCAGAGAGAGACCAGAGAGAGACCAGAGAGAGAGACCAGAGAGAGAGACCAGAGAGAGAGAACAGAGAGAGGGACCAGAGAGAGACCAGAGAGAGAGACCAGAGAGAGAGACCAGAGAGAGACCAGAGAGAGAGAACAGAGAGAGAGACCAGAGAGAGACCAGAGAGAGAGACCAGAGAGAGAGACCAGAGAGAGACCAGAGAGAGAGAACAGAGAGAGAGACCAGAGAGAGAGAACAGAGAGAGGGACCAGAGAGAGAGACCAAAGAGAGAGACCAGAGAGAGACCAGAGAGAGAGACCAGAGAGAGACCAGAGAGAGAGAACAGAGAGAGGGACCAGAGAGAGACCAGAGAGAGAGACCAAAGAGAGAGACCAGAGAGAGACCAGAGAGAGGGACCATGTAGACCAGCAGCAGAGTGGTCAGACTGGTTTGGCAGCGCTGCTGTTGTGCTCTGGTCTTCACTGGTCGTTGGAGCCCGTTGTGTCGTCGCTCTCGTCCTGCTCTCGCCCTCTGGCCCCGCCCCCTCCTGCCTTGCCCTTGAGCAGCGCACTGTCTGGGTGCAGCGTGTGCAGGTGCAGTGCCAGCTCGTCGGGCGTGGGCACCGTGTGGCCGCACTCCTCGCACACGTACAGCTTGTTGCGCCGCTCCTTGTAGGCGTACTTGAGCGTGACGCCGTGGATCTTCTTCATGTGGGACTCCAGAGAGCAGCGCTGCGTGAAGGCTTTCTCACACAGGTCACACTTGTACGGACGCACACCTGCAACACACACACGCACACACACCCGCACACACAGTATCACACCTTATTCTCTGCCCAATGTCATCCACAGACTGTACACAGATGGACAATGCCTGACAAACCATGTGTGTGTGTACCTGTGTGTGTGTACCTGTGTGTGTGTGTGTGTGGGTCTATGTGTGTAACTGTGAGTATGTGTGTGTGTGTATATACCTGTGTGTGTGTATGTCTGTGTGTATATACCTGTGTGTGTGTGTGTTTGTGTTTACCTGTGTGTGCGTGTGTGTGTACCTGTGAGTATGTGTGTACCTGTGTGCGTGTGTGTGTATACCTGTGTGTGTGTGTACCTGTGCATGTGTGTGTGCGTGTATACCTGTGTGTGTGTGTGTGTGTACCTGTGCATGTGTGTGTGTGTGTGTGTGTGTACCTGTGAGTATGTGTGTATATACCTGTGTGTATGTATGTCTGTGTGTATATACCTGTGTGTGTGTATATGCCTGTGTGTGCACCTGTGAGTATGTGTGTACATGTGAGTATGTGTGTACCTGTGTGTGTGTGCGTGTATACCTGTGTGTGTGTGTGTGTACCTGTGTGTGCGTGTGTGTGTATACCTGTGCATGTGTGTATACCTGTGTGTGTGTGTGTATACCTGTGCATGGTGTGTGTGTGTGTATACCTGTGTGTGTGTGTGTGTGCGTGTGTGTATATGTGTGTGTGTGTGTGTGTGCGCGTGTGTGTGTATACCTGTGTGTGTGTATACCTGTGTGTGTGTATACCTGTGTGTGTGTGTGCGTGTGTGTATACCTGTGTGTGTGTGTGTGTGTGTGTGTGTATACCTGTGTGTGTGTGTGTGTGTATACCTGTGTGTGTGCATGTGTGTGTGTGCATGTGTGTGTGTATACCTGTGTGCGTCCGGACGTGCCTCTTCAGGTCGAAGGTGTCGTTGAAGCCCTTCCCACAGTGGCTGCACAGATGTCTCTTGGTTTCATTGTGACACTTTATGTGACGGTTCAACATCCGCTGGTACTGGAACGACTTCTGACAGATCTGTACCAGGAATACACCATGAAGGCAAGAGACACCAGAGAGAGACCAGAGAGAGACCAGAGAGAGACCAGAAACTGGTCCCTCTAGTTGGAGCCAAACTCTTTCCATGAGCACTTCCCTACTGGGCGTGATGATCAGGGAGAGAGAAAAGATAGAGTAGTTTTTCATATTTACATGGCAGAAGAGATGATGGGCGGAGCCTGCTGGTTTTGGGGGCGTGGTCTCGGTTACCATGGTTATTGAGGAAGTCACAGTCGGAGGTGTTGATTGGTCAGAGCTCGGCAACTCGCCTGTCGTCACCTGGAAGATAATCACAGTTAGAAAGAGTAGGGGTCAGAGGTGACCAGAGAGACCAGAGAGAGACCAGAGAGAGACCAGAGAGAGACCAGAGAGACCAGAGAGAGACCAGAGAGAGACCAGAGAGACCAGAGAGAGACCAGAGAGAGACCAGAGAGAGACCAGAGAGACCAGAGAGACCAGAGAGAGACCAGAGAGAGACCAGAGAGAGACCAGAGGGAGACCAGAGAGAGACCAGAGAGAGACCAGAGAGAGACCAGAGGGAGACCAGAGGGAGACCAGAGAAAGAACCAGGGAGAGACCAGAGAGAGACCAGAGAGAGACCAGAGAGAGACCAGAGAGAGACCAGAGAGAGACCAGAGAGAGACCAGAGAGAGACCAGAGGGAGACCAGAGGGAGACCAGAGAGAGCAGAGAGAGACCAGAGAGAGACCAGAGAGAGACCAGAGGGAGACCAGAGGGAGACCAGAGAGACCAGAGAGAGACCAGAGAGAGACCAGAGAGAGACCAGAGGGAGACCAGAGGGAGACCAGAGAGACCAGAGAGAGACCAGAGAGAGACCAGAGAGAGACCAGAGAGAGACCAGAGAGAGACCAGAGAGAGCAGAGAGAGACCAGAGAGAGACCAGAGAGAGACTAGTCCACTGCACTTTCACTTTCAGAATAATAGTTTGTGTAGAATCCCTCTCACCTTGATCTTGGAGCGCACATAGGAGCTGCCTGCATGTTGGGCTCTCCTCCGGCTCTCCACCTGCACCTCTGCCCTGGGGCCCTCTCCCCTGGGGCCCTCTCCCCTGGGGCCCTCTCCCCTGGGGCCCTCTCCCCTGGGGCCCTCTGCCCTGGGTCCCTCTGCCCTGGGGCCCTCTCCCAGCACAGTGCATGATGGGAGCTGGGCGGTGGTGGAGAGAGAGTCGCTCGCAGAGGGTTTGGTCAGACACAAGGGGGCGCTCTCCGCATCCTCAGCCTCCATCATCAGAGCGGACGACGGGAAGACGGACACTAGGACCAGGGACAGAAGGAAGTCAGCGCCAAGTTTATTTATACAGCACAGAACCATTACACGAGATGGGCAATGATCGACAAGGACAATACATGATATTTACATTTACATAAACCCAGAAACTAAAACAGTGTATTTCCACCTGTGGAACATTCGCTAAAATCAGGAATTCTTGAGTTTCATACGACGTCAGGGCAGCGTGCTCTAAACCTTCTGTGAAGAGCCCCCTGCTGGCAGCGTGCTCTAAACCCTCTGTGAAGAGCCCCCTGCTGGCAGCGTGCTCTAAATCCTCTGTGAAGAGCTTCCTGCTGGCAGCGTGCTCTAAACCCCCTGTAGAGCCCCCTGCTGGCAGCATGCTCTAAACCCTCTGTGAAGAGCCCCCTGCTGGCAGCATGCTCTAAACCCTCTGTGAAGAGCCCCCTGCTGGCAGCGTGCTCTAAACCCTCTGTGAAGAGCTTCCTGCTGGCAGCGTGCTCTAAAGCCTCTGTAGAGCCCCCTGCTGGCAGCGTGCTCTAAACCCTCTGTGAAGAGCTTCCTGCTGGCAGCGTGCTCTAAAGCCTCTGTAGAGGCCCCTGCTGGCAGTGTGCTCTAAACCCTCTGTAGAGCCCCCTGCTGGCAGCGTGCTCTAAACCCTCTGTGAAGAGCCCCCTGCTGGCAGCGTGCTCTAAACCCTCTGTGAAGAGCCCCCTGCTGGCAGGGTGCTCTAAACCCTCTGTGAAGAGCCCCCTGCTGGCAGGGTGCTCTAAACCCTCTGTGAAGAGCCCCCTGCTGGCAGCGTGCTCTAAACCCTCTGTAGAGCCCCCTGCTGGCAGCGTGCTCTAAAGCCTCTGTAGAGCCCCCTGCTGGCAGCGTGCTCTAAACCCTCTGTGAAGAGCCCCCTGCTGGCAGCGTGCTCTAAAGCCTCTGCAGAGCCCCCTGCTGGCAGCGTGCTCTAAACCCTCTGTGAAGAGCTTCCTGCTGGCAGCGTGCTCTAAACCCTCTGTGAAGAGCTTCCTGCTGGCAGCGTGCTCTAAAGCCTCTGTGAAGAGCCCCCTGCTGGCAGCGTGCTCTAAACCCTCTGTGTAGAGCCCCCTGCTGGCAGCGTGCTCTAAACCCTCTGTGAAGAGCCCCCTGCTGGCAGCGTGCTCTAAACCCTCTGTGAAGAGCTTCCTGCTGGCAGCGTGCTCTAAAGCCTCTGTGAAGAGCCCCCTGCTGGCAGCGTGCTCTAAACCCTCTGTGAAGAGCCCCCTGCTGGCAGCGTGCTCTAAACCCTCTGTAGAGCCCCCTGCTGGCAGCGTGCTCTAAACCCTCTGTGAAGAGCCCCCTGCTGGCAGCGTGCTCTAAAACCTCTGTGAAGAGCCCCCTGCTGGCAGCGTGCTCTAAAGCCTCTGAAGAGCCCCCTGCTGGCAGCGTGCTCTAAACCCTCTGTGAAGAGCCCCCTGCTGGCAGCGTGCTCTAAAGCCTCTGTAGAGCCCCCTGCTGGAAGTGTGCTCTAAACCCTCTGTAAAGAGCCCCCTGCTGGCAGCGTGCTCTAAACCCTCTGTGAAGAGCCCCCTGCTGGCAGCGTGCTCTAAAGCCTCTGTAGAGCCCCCTGCTGGCAGTGTGCTCTAAACCCTCTGTAGAGCCCCCTGCTGGCAGCGTGCTCTAAACCCTCTGCAGAGCCCCCTGCTGGCAGCGTGCTCTAAAGCCTCTGTAGAGCCCCCTGCTGGCAGTGTGCTCTAAACCCTCTGTGAAGAGCCCCCTGCTGGCAGCGTGCTCTAAACCCTCTGTGAAGAGCTTCCTGCTGGCAGCGTGCTCTAAAGCCTCTGTGAAGAGCCCCCTGCTGGCAGCGTGCTCTAAACCCTCTGTGAAGAGCCCCCTGCTGGCAGCGTGCTCTAAACCCTCTGTAGAGCCCCCTGCTGGCAGCGTGCTCTAAACCCTCTGTGAAGAGCCCCCTGCTGGCAGCGTGCTCTAAAACCTCTGTGAAGAGCCCCCTGCTGGCAGCGTGCTCTAAAGCCTCTGAAGAGCCCCCTGCTGGCAGCGTGCTCTAAACCCTCTGTGAAGAGCCCCCTGCTGGCAGCGTGCTCTAAAGCCTCTGTAGAGCCCCCTGCTGGCAGCGTGCTCTAAACCCTCTGTAAAGAGCCCCCTGCTGGCAGCGTGCTCTAAACCCTCTGTGAAGAGCTTCCTGCTGGCGGCGTGCTCTAAACCCTCTGCAGAGCCCCCTGCTGGCAGCGTGCTCTAAAGCCTCTGTAGAGCCCCCTGCTGGCAGTGTGCTCTAAACCCTCTGTAGAGCCCCCTGCTGGCAGCGTGCTCTAAACCCTCTGTGAAGAGCCCCCTGCTGGCGGCATGCTCTAAACCCTCTGTGAAGAGCCCCCTGCTGGCAGCGTGCTCTAAACCCTCTGTGAAGAGCCCCCTGCTGGCAGCGTGCTCTAAACCCTCTGTGAAGAGCCCCCTGCTGGCAGCGTGCTCTAAACCCTCTGTAAAGAGCCCCCTGCTGGCAGCGTGCTCTAAACCCTCTGCAGAGCCCCCTGCTGGCAGCGTGCTCTAAACCCTCTGTGAAGAGCCCCCTGCTGGCAGCGTGCTCTAAAGCCTCTGTAGAGCCCCCTGCTGGCAGTGTGCTCTAAACCCTCTGTGAAGAGCCCCCTGCTGGCAGCGTGCTCTAAAGCCTCTGTAGAGCCCCCTGCTGGCAGTGTGCTCTAAACCCTCTGTGAAGAGCCCCCTGCTGGCAGTGTGCTCTAAACCCTCTGTGAAGAGCCCCCTGCTGGCAGCGTGCTCTAAAGCCTCTGTAGAGCCCCCTGCTGGCAGTGTGCTCTAAACCCTCTGTGAAGAGCCCCCTGCTGGCAGTGTGCTCTAAACCCTCTGTGTAGAGCCCCCTGCTGGCAGCGTGCTCTAAAGCCTCTGTGAAGAGCTTCCTGCTGGCAGCGGGCTCTAAAGCCTCTGTGAAGAGCTTCCTGCTGGCAGCGTGCTCTAAACCCTCTGTGTAGAGCCCCCTGCTGGCAGCGTGCTCTAAAGCCTCTGTGAAGAGCTTCCTGCTGGCAGCAGGCTCTAAAGCCTCTGTGAAGAGCTTCCTGCTGGCAGCGTGCTCTAAAGCCTCTGTGAAGAGCTTCCTGCTGGCAGAATACAGCAGCAAGGATCTGAACAGGCACCAAAAGGAGAGAGCACATAACTCCAGTGTTAAAATCACTTCACTGGCTTCTGTAGAGGATAGACCAGAGAGAGAGAGAGACCAGAGAGAGACCAGAGAGAGACCAGAGAGAGACCAGAGAGAGACTAGAGAGAGACCAGAGAGAGACCAGAGAGAGAGAGACCAGAGAGAGAGAGAGAGACCAGAGAGAGAGACCAGAGAGAGAGCAGAAAGAGACCAGAGAGAGACAAGAGAGAGACCAGAGAGAGACCAGAGAGAGAGAGAGAGAGACCGGAGAGAGAGACCAGAGAGAGAGACCAGAGAGAGAGAGACCAGAGAGAGAGACCAGAGAGAGAGCAGAAAGAGACCAGAGAGAGACTAGAGAGGGACCAGAGAGAGACTAGAGAGAGAAACCGGAGAGAGACAAGAAAGACTAGAGAGAGACCAGGAGAGACCAGAGAGAGACTAGAGAGAGACCAGAGAGACCAGAGAGAGACCAGAGAGAGACCAGGAGAGACCAGAGAGAGACTAGAGAGAGACCAGAGAGACCAGAGAGAGACCAGAGAGAGACCAGAGAGAGACTAGAGAGAGACCAGAGAGAGACTAGAGAGAGACCAGAGAGAGAGACCAGAGAGAGAGACCAGAGAGAGAGACCAGAGAGAGAGACCAGAGAGAGAGACTAGAGAGAGACTAGAGAGAGACTAGAGAGAGACCAGGAGAGACCAGAGAGAGACTAGAGAGAGACCAGAGAGAGACCAGAGAGAGACCAGAGAGAGACTAGAGAGAGACCAGAGAGAGACCAGAGAGAGACCCAGAGAGAGACCAGAGAGAGACCAGAGAGAGACCCAGAGAGAGACCAGAGAGAGACCAGAGAGAGACCAGAGAGAGACCAGAGAGAGACCAGAGAGAGAGACCAGAGAGAGACCAGAGAGAGACCAGAGAGAGACCAGAGAGAGACCAGAGAGAGAGACCAGAGAGAGACCAGAGAGAGACCAGAGAGAGACCAGAGAGAGACTAGAGAGAGACCAGAGAGAGACTAGAGAGAGACCAGAGAGAGACCAGAGAGAGACCAGAGAGAGACCCAGAGAGAGACCAGAGAGAGACCAGAGAGAGACCAGAGAGAGACCAGAGAGAGACCAGAGAGAGAGACCAGAGAGAGACCAGAGAGAGACCAGAGAGAGACCAGAGAGAGAGACCAGAGAGACCACTTTGCTGGTTCCAAGTCATTGAGGATTTAAAAATAGACTTGTTACAGTTTAAATATGTCACAATCACTAATCTGCGAGTCCAGGCTTTCACAACAATAGTGTGTGTCTGTGTCTGTGTGTGTCCTTTTGTTTTTAAACCGTTGGTCTTGTTGGACCAGATTGTCTTGAGTGACAGATTTAAATAGAGAGAGGAGAGACCAGAGAGAGAGACCAGAGAGAGAGACCAGAGAGAGAGACCAGAGAGAGAGACCAGAGAGAGACCAGAGAGAGAGACCAGAGAGAGACCAGAGAGAGACCAGAGAGAGACCAGAGAGAGACCAGAGAGAGACCAGAGAGAGAGACCAGAGAGAGAGACCAGAGAGAGAGACCAGAGAGAGACCAGAGAGAGACCAGAGAGAGAGACCAGAGAGAGACCAGAGAGAGACCAGAGAGAGACCAGAGAGAGACCAGAGAGAGACCAGAGAGAGAGGACCAGAGAGAGAGACCAGAGAGAGAACAGAGAGAGAACAGAGAGAGACCAGAGAGAGAGACCAGAGAGAGAGACCAAAGAGAGACCAGAGAGAGAACAGAGAGAGAGACCAGAGAGAGAGACCAAAGAGAGACCAGAGAGAGACCAGAGAGAGAGACCAGAGAGAGACCAGAGAGAGACCAGAGAGAGACCAGAGAGAGACCAGAGAGAGACCAGAGAGAGAGACCAGAGAGAGAGACCAGAGAGAGAGACCAGAGAGAGACCAGAGAGAGACCAGAGAGAGAGACCAGAGAGAGAACAGAGAGAGACCAGAGAGAGAGACCAGAGAGAGAGACCAAAGAGAGACCAGAGAGAGAACAGAGAGAGAGACCAGAGAGAGAGACCAAAGAGAGACCAGAGAGAGAACAGAGAGAGACCAGAAACTGGTCCCTCTAGTTGGAGCAAAACTCTGTCCATGAGCACTTCCCTGATGGGCGTCAGTAAGCTAGCAGGTTAGCCTCCTCCATCTGTGCAGCTGGTTTGGTGATAGTGTGCGGCTGCAGCGGCGTCCGCACCGCGCCCTGGTCAAACACGTTCTGAGTCACACATTAATGATATTCCACTGTTTACACATATACGGGTCTTCACACCGACACACGACTCCATTTACTCTGCAATCACCCTAAATCATAACAGCAGCTACTACAGAGGACCATAGAGAGACCAGAGAGAGACCAGAGAGAGACCAGAGAGAGACCATGGAGAGAGATCAGAGAGAGACCAGAGAGAGACCAGAGAGAGACCAGAGAAAGAGACCAGAGAGAGACCAGAGAGAGAGACCAGAGAGAGAGACTAGAGAGAGACCAGAGAGACCAGAGAGAGACCAGAGAGAGACAAGAGAGAGACCAGAAAGAGAGACCAGAGAGAGAGACCAGAGAGAGACAAGAGAGAGACCAGAGAGAGAGACCAGAGAGAGACCAGAGAGAGACCAGAGAGAGAGACTAGAGAGAGACCAGAGAGAGACCAGAGAGAGACCAGAGAGAGACAAGAGAGAGACCAGAAAGAGAGACCAGAGAGAGAGACCAGAGAGAGACAAGAGAGAGACCAGAGAGAGAGAGAGACTAGAGAGAGACCAGAGAGAGACCAGAGAGAGACCAGAGAGAGACTAGAGAGAGACCAGAGAGAGACCAGAGAGAGACCAGAGAGAGACAAGAGAGAGACCAGAAAGAGAGACCAGAGAGAGAGACCAGAGAGAGACAAGAGAGAGACCAGAGAGAGAGACCAGAGAGAGACAAGAGAGAGACCAGAGAGAGAGACCAGAGAGAGACCAGAGAGAGACCAGAGAGAGAGACCAGAGAGAGAGACCAGAGAGAGACCAGAGAGAGACAAGAGAGAGAGACCAGAGAGAGAGACCAGAGAGAGAGACCAGAGAGAGACCAGAGAGAGACCAGAAAGAGAGACCAGAGAGAGAGACCAGAGAGAGACCAGAGAGAGACAAGAGAGAGACCAGAGAGAGAGACCAGAAAGAGACCAGAGAGAGACCAGAGAGAGAGACCAGAGAGAGAGACCAGAGAGAGACCAGAGAGAGACCAGAGAGAGACCAGAGAGAGGCCAGAGAGAGAGGCCAGAGAAACCAGAGAGAGACCTCCTCTCATTCTCTCTCTCCTTTTCCCCACATGTCTCTCCCCCCCTCTCCCTCCCTCCTCCTCTCTCTCTCCCCTCTTCTTAACATTCCTCTGAGACGCTGTTTCAACATGTGCTCCGTTATTTCTCTCCTGAAGCAGCACAAAGGGATGTGACTCAGACCGAAGACCTGCAGTCTCTCTTTTTAGTCTCTCTCTCTGGTCTCTCTCTGGTCTCTCTCTGGTCTCTCTCTCTGGTCTCTCTTAATTTGACATGGGAGTCAATAGTAGCCAAACTTCACCATGAGCACTTCTCTAGCTTCAATGTGCTAGCGAGTTAGCACTGAGTTACCATTAAGTTAGCATTGTCCATCTGCACACAGGCTGAGTTATACTTTTACATACATCTTGAAATTATTGCTATTCTAGTCATTTTTCTCCTTCTCTCCACCTCCCTCTCTCCCTCCCTCTCTCCTTCTCTCCCTCCCTCTCTCCCTCTCTCCTTCTCTCCCTCCCTCTCTCCCTCCCTCTCTGCCTCTCTCCTTCTCTCCCTCCCTCTCTCCTTCTCTCCCTCCCTCCCTCCTTCTCTCCCTCCCTCCCTCCTTCTCTCCCTCCCTCTCTCCTTCTCTCCCTCCCTCTCTCCTTCCCTCTCTCCTTCTCTCCCTCCCTCTCTCCCTCCCTCCTTCTCTCCCTCCCTCCCTCCTTCTCTCCCTCCCTCTCTCCTTCCCTCTCTCCTTCTCTCCCTCCCTCTCTCCCTCTCTCCTTCTCTCCCTCCCTCTCTCCCTCTCTCCTTCTCTCCCTCCCTCTCTCCTTCTCTCCCTCCCTCTCTCCCTCACCTCCCTCCCTCTCTCCTTCTCTCCCTCCCTCTCTCCTTCTCTCCCTCCCTCTCTCCCTCCCTCTCTCCTTCTCTCCCTCCCTCTCTCCCTCACCTCCCTCCCTCTCTCCTTCTCTCCCTCCCTCCCTCCCTCTCTCCTTCTCTCCCTCCCTCCCTCCCTCTCTCCTTCTCTCCCTCCCTCTCTCCTTCTCTCCTTCTCTCCCTCCCTCTCTCCTTCTCTCCCTCCCTCTCTCCCTCACCTCCCTCCCTCTCTCCTTCTCTCCCTCCCTCTCTCCTTCTCTCCCTCCCTCTCTCCCTCACCTCCCTCCCTCTCTCCTTCTCTCCCTCCCTCTCTCCCTCACCTCCCTCCCTCTCTCCTTCTCTCCCTCCCTCTCTCCCTCTCTCTCTCCCTCACCTCCCTCCCTCTCTCCTTCTCTCTCTCCCTCGCTCTCTCTGTGACATCACAATCTGCACACTCCGGTTTAACTCACTCGACCTGATTGTGTGTCTTAGCCACAGTTATGTCCTGAGTCTCAGTCTGTTTGTCTTGGTCTTTCTATGTTATTATTCTTTATGTTTAGGTTTAAAGCTGAGGTTCCTAACTTAAGTTTCTTTCATCACTAAAACTACACTATACTGCAGGACCTGTCTCAGTCACCAGCCCACAGAGTCAGATAGTGACTCCCAGGGACTGCAACAGCCCTGTGGTCTACCAAAAAAATCTAAAATCAAATGTTTTCTAATGAGAAGAATAAACCTGAGACTCTGTCGAATAAACTACAAGCACAAAGTCAGGGGCCTGAGCTTTAACTGTGTGTGTACCATGCGTGTATGTGTGTGTGTACATGTGTGTACATGTGTTTACAGATGTGTGTACGTGTGTGTACATGTGTGTATATGTGTGTGTACATGTGTGTACATGTGTGTACATGTGTGTACATGTGTGTACAGATGTGTGTACACGTGTCCTCCGTTAGCCGCAGCCGCAGATTGCGCTGTCTGAATGATTAGCGCCATATAACGGTGCAGAGCCTGGCGCAGGCCGCAGACAGAGCTCCAGAGCCCGGGGGGAGGGGCGGCCTCAGCCCGGGCCTGCTCTGGGTGTAGTCCGTTAGTTTGTTATCTGATACGGCCTGCTCCTACAATAAACCCGCGCCGCTGGCAACAAAGGCGATTGTTCTGCAGGTGAAAGAGAAGTGAGAGAAGGAGGCGATGTTTGGGGAAGGTACAGTCTCCCCCAAACCTCCCCCAAACCACACTTATTCTCATGGAAAACTCTGGACCACCGTCGGTCCAGATATGGTCCCGGGAGAGCGGGACCATAGCGGGAGAGTCTGACCGGGAGCACTTTGAACCAGTACACCGCGACCACAGCGATAGCCGCGGATTCTTCACTTTAATTCTGCAAACACACCGCAGAGACACGGGTTCTGGTGTTCTGAGCAGGGTCTTGGGTCTCTGTGGTCACTGGTCTGGTATCGGTCCAAACCTCCTCTGGTCCAAACCTCCCCTGGTTCATAACACCTGGTCCAGTGGGTGCAGGTGGCTCTAACGTGACACGGTTCTAACGGACCTGCCTCTGACCGGACCTCAGCTAAGTTAACTCCTTAAAGTCCACATGTCACAGTTTTATTTATGTTTAAGACTCTTTACAAACTATATTTGTTGAAACAAGTGGCTCACATTTCCTCAATAATGTGTTTACGCAATCGCTTTACGTACGGGCCTGTTATGTCACGTGATCTGAGCAGACCCCCATAAGTCTCACCCTGAACCAGGACTTTACACAGTTGTGGATTCACCAGCAGCAGATCAGAGAATCAAACCGTTCAGAGACAGGAAAAGTCATAAGAACGAACATAGACTGGTCCAAAGGGACCGGGACCAGTCCTCAGACCCAGACCCAGTGACGTCAGTGATGTGTCTGTCTCTGTTGAGTATTATGTGTTTTTAAAGATAGTTTTAAAGACAGGAGTGTAAACGTCACAGTCCTTGTAGAAAGCTAACGGGGTTGAAGGTCGTTATATGCAGCGAGTAAAGGGCCATAAAAGTCTGTACGTGACGTATGAGACTGTAAACAAACTCTAACTAACTAACTAACTCTAACAAACTGAACAAACTCTAACAAAGTGTATGAACACAGGGAGAACTTCGCTGCAGCTGCTGAGAACGCGGCGCACCTCACACAAATATGGGGAAGCAGCCGCAGACCCAGCCGCGGTTCCCGTTATTCCCACAGGGGCCTCCGCTAACCACTCCGCGACCCCCGGGTCTACCGCGGGACCGTGAGCCCCGTGCAGACTCCCGCAGGGGCCACACGCAGCACTCACCGGGGATGTAGACGTCGCCTCGCTCATGGTCCGACACCTCGCTCCAGTTCCGTTTTCCCGGTGAAGCGTTGTACTTCTTGACCAGAAAGGCCCGCGGCATCCTGCAGCTCGAGCTCGCGTTTCCAAAATAATCCCAACGCGTCGTTCTGTGCGTCTCTGGGCGTCTCTCCTGTGCTTGTCCGCGGACTGTGGGCTCGGGCTCTGCTCAGGTGATTCCAGGTAAGTGCGGGAGCCGTGCGGTGGGCCGTGCGGGGGGCGGGGGTGTCTGGGGTCTCCGAGGGCCGCGCTGGGGGTCTCTCCGGTGCGGTGGAGGAGCGGGTCTGGGTCCGGGGTCTGCGGGAGGTGGAGGTGTCTCTGGAGCAGCAGCAGCAGCAGCAGCTCAGGTAGAAGCAGGAAACAGGGCGGCCACAGCGCATGCGCGGCAGAAATAACGGTGAGAGTGTGGGGACTGGAGCGGGTGCAGGACCAGTCCGACCGGTCTGACCTCCGCGGCTCTCGGCCTCTGTCTCCGGGCGTCAT